TATGAAGTAGATGGGAAATTATGCATGGCCCTACCTTGACTCAATGGAGCTTACTGTTACTCAACAGTCAAAGTCAGGCTTTTAAACCTCCCCCCCCCCCCCCCCCCCAAAAAAAAAAAAAGGGTTAAATCAGGCCAGAAAACTGTTCGGGCAAAAATTATTGCAGGAACCAAACTGGTTGGCATGATTGATTCATGTAAAATTTTTACTTGTCTAGTTTAATTTTCAGGAAGTTAGAGACACTATATTTTCAAGAGTTGTTTCTATTAACACCTGGCCTTAACTGAAATAATTTATACTTGTAAATTTAATGTTTACTTTTTTTTACAATAGTTTGATGTGTTGCATGCCAGCCATTAAGTTAGAATCTTCTCTTTTCTTAAATCTTCGAAAAAAGATTTCCCTTGTGATGTCACAGATAATAGAAATACAGTGGAACTGGATTTTTTTCTGATCTGCTTCAGAGATGTTTTGGTGTCTGTCTGTCTTGAACAAAAGAGACGAGGAAAGGGAATTAAGCTGTAACAACTGTTGGAAAACACTTCCCCTTCTTTTCTTTTCGAAACAAAACACTTGTGTTGAATTGGTTAACATTTTCGATTAAGCAAATGTAGTTGTAGAATTTTAATGGACTCTATTGAGTTTGCATTTCATAATTTTATGAATACATCATTTTCGTTGAACATATTTTATACTCAAATCGGATGTATAATAATTCTATTACAATCTCCCAAATAATAAATCTCAACTAATTTCTCCAATTATCTACTCAAATAATTACGATTCGATTTCAAAATATTTCAATTCATTCCCTCATTTTTGTTAATGGGCTCTAAGGTTTTAGCCCATTTTGAACCGTACTGGATATGTGAGGATCTAGGTGAGAACCAGTCGGCCCATTCTCTGTTACTATGGGCCTAATGGACAGACTTCTAGGGTCGGATTGTGTAATATTTTAAGTTCTTTTTCCAAATATATATATTTATTACTTTTAGCTTAAAAAAATCATCTTAATCATGTCAAATATTATTTATGAATTAATAATTAATCCATACCTGTCTGCCGCAAGTATCCTCCAATGGTTTCTAAGGGAGAAAAAAAAAAATGAATATACTTTTTTCCGTGCAAGTTGCAGAGCCTGATCCACAGCCGTAAATCAACGTTATCAATCGCAGTTCACCGACCCAAACCAAACCAAACACCAACTGGGTAAAAACTCTAAGACGTGGCAACTTATCATTGGACCGTTGTTGTATTCTCATGTCACTTTTAAATTTCCGTAATTGATTATCCTTTTTTCTTACATTTTCCTTTAAGTTCAACAAACCGTCAGCTCTCTCTCGATCACGTTAACATCACACGCAATCTCGGCCCCCAAAGCTCTCTCTCTCTCTCTCTCTCTCTGTAATTTCAGGGGCTGTTTTAAGTTTTTCCGGTGACCAAGCGAGAAGGAGAGAGAAGAGGAGAATCAGAAAACCATGGGGACTGAGAATTCTAGCTCGGCGGGGGTGGAGATATCAGAGCCGTTACTTCTGGATACGGAGAAGATCAGGGCCGTTGATGATGATAAGGAGCTGATACCGGAATGGAAGGACCAGATCACGATCAGAGGGCTGGTGGTGAGCGTCTTGCTTGGCTCTCTTTTCTGCATCATCACACACAAGCTCAATCTCACGGTTGGAATTATCCCTTCCCTCAACGTTGCTGCTGGATTGCTCGGATTCTTCTTCGTCAAATCCTGGACAGGGTTCCTGTCGAAGCTGGGATTTTCCCTAAAACCTTTCACCAAACAGGAGAACACCGTTATTCAAACTTGCGTTGTTGCCTGCTATGGTCTTGCCTTTAGCGGTAACTAATTACCCCGAATTAGAAATGTATGGATAAGATTTTGTCTTTTTGTGAGGTTTGTTTCCAAAAAATATTGACTTTAGTTTGAAATTTTATTCACTTAGGAAATGGATTCATATTGATCCTTCTAAAATTACTACTTATTATTGGTGAAGTATACGGGTTTCTTTTATTTAATTTTAAAAGGTTATCAAGTGCTGAATTTTAGTGTATTAGACATGTAAGTTTCAGTGATATGACTTTAGTTTTTTTTTTTTTTTCTTTTTTCTTTCTTTTTTTAATAAAGGATGGTTTGTTGTCAAGTTAATTATCTCTACACTGCAATCATTTGTTTCCTACATTCTAATCCTCATATTAGTCTTCAGATGCCCTTTGTGTTTGACCACCTGTACTTAAATTCGTCTTGAATTATTTTGGCGTGAATTCAAACCCGCCCTTCACGCCTTGAATTCCTTGTGGTGGAAATTCAACCTTACTTTAATGTGGGAATTTAATTCCCACTGTCAAGAAATTCAAGGTGGAATGAATTAGTGGTGGTTCTTATATCATATTTTCGGTTTTTGCTTTAAAAGAGGAAGAAGCTACTCTCTTTTGACATTATCTTTGTTATTTAAAACTCTGTAAACCAATTTTTACAAAATGAGAAAAAGAACACGTTCAAAAGTGGAGAGTGGTGTTGGATCACTTAAATGTTTTGGGAACAACTCAAATATGCTTATAGTGAAAAGCTTAACTATTTTCAGCAGTCTCGGTTTCTAGAAAAGAAAACAGCATAATATAAAGATGAAACTCAAAAGTTTTCTTCAATTTGATGTGTTTGCCAATGCTTAATTTTTTACAGGTGGGTTTGGTTCATATTTGATTGCAATGGATGAGAAAACATATAGGCTCATTGGTGTTGATTATCCTGGTAACCGAGCTGAAGATGTAAAGAATCCGGGTTTGTGGTGGATGACTGGATTTCTATTTGTTGTCAGCTTCCTTGGCCTCTTTAGCCTTGTTCCATTACGTAAGGTAAGTGTCACCTTTGTATTGGTGCTTCAGTTGTGGAATAGTTTAGCATTTTTGTGGCCATAAATGTTCGAAGAAAGTTTGGAATTGATTTAAAGTCATGCTGTTTCATTGAGATGGAGTCTTGTCCCATTGCTCTCGTCACTTGCTCTCTCTATATTTTTGCATACTTCTGTTGTGCATACAGCTTTTCTGAATGGAATATTGGGTTCAATAGTTAGTTTCTAAAATGAATTCTAGTGTGGATGACATTTGTTTATTGTTAAGGTGATTGCCATGGCATATATTTGCCACATAAGATATTGAAGTTTGCTGCAGCGTCTCTGCCCTTGAATGTTTCTGGCTGCATTGTGTGCTCCATTTCTGCATTTTTTTTTTTGAGGAACATAGATTGGCATTTTTGAGTATCCCTTTCATACATCTTATCGTTTCTTTTTCTTTTCTCAGGTAATGGTCATGGATTATAAACTTACATATCCCAGTGGGACAGCAACTGCAATGTTGATAAACAGCTTTCACACCAACACTGGAGCTGAGCTTGCAAGGTAATTAATTGTCTGACCTGTACACAGCTTTTTACTTTCTTTTGATATAGAAAAAAAAAATTGTAGGCAGGTTACAAGAAATAATCATGTAATTTTGGGAAGAATCTAAATGGAAATTAACAGTGATCAAGAAGACTTAAGCAGAATGCAATATCTGCTTGCTAATTACTAGTGTGAATAAATTTGAACAGTAGGGCTCCACGTGAAATGGAACATCTCTTGTTCGTTGCAGACGCTCATGTCTTAGTTTAAGAAAACTTTCATCTGTCACAGTAGTGGAACTAGTAGTCATTGACATTGATTTCTTCATAATATTTTTTGCTGTATCATTTACTAGCTCTTTTTTCTGATTTTTTGTATATATTACTCCATATTACTGGAGAATTACTGCTACAGAGGAGTTTGTGTTCATCCTGCTTCCCCTTTTCTCACTTTTGAAACATGAGTATATGCCTAAGTATATTTCTGTTGTCTGCATGTACTCCAGGAAGCAAGTCCGTTGCCTTGGAAAATATTTGAGCATTAGTTTTTGCTGGAGCTGCTTTAAGTGGTTCTTCAGTGGTATTGGAGATTCATGCGGATTTGATAATTTTCCGACTCTTGGTCTGATACTATTCAAGAACACGTGAGTTAATTGTCATGCTCTTTCTCTCATACACACACATGCGAGCTGTTCTTATTCTAAGTAGAACATGTATCAGTAGGCTTCTTGGCCAGACTGCATCTATTAACCAGAGCAAGTAGATTATGGTATTGAAAGGTTTCAAACCTTCATTCTGATTATTATATCACAACCCTACTCTGTAAACTGTAATTTAGGCATGTATCACTGAGTTGCTAACAAGACTTACTTTAATGCAGGTTTTACTTTGACTTCAGTCCTACTTATGTTGGATGTGGTCTTATATGCCCACACATAGTTAACTGCTCAGTTCTTCTTGGGGCTATCATATCTTGGGGCTTCTTGTGGCCATTCATTTCACTGCATGCAGGGGACTGGTATCCGGCTAACCTTGAAAGCAATGATTTTAAAGGTCTTTATGGGTACAAGGTATGTGAAAGAGTCATTATATAACTGCAAAATGGGAGTGCGCTTTAAGAGAAAAACAATGTTAATCTGTTCATGAGGATGTCTTCCTCTCCCTTCCTCTTCCCCCGTGCTTCCCCTCTCTCCTACTCATATGTAGGCTTGTTGGGGTCCTTTTCTGCCTTTCCTATGGACTTGTCATTTATCAATCTTGTAAGAAGTTTTTCCAACCAACATTTTCTGCAGGTCTTTATAGCCATTTCTCTTATCCTTGGGGATGGTCTTTATAATCTCATCAAGATAATAGCTATAACTGTGAAGGAAATCTGCAACAAAAGGACAAAACAGGGGAGCCTTCCTATTGTAAGCGAGGTCCTAGGTAAGGGATATTTGCTCTTTTTTATTTAACCATTATGTGTCCTCAAATTGTTTGAGGGATATATTATCAATTTAAATTTGGGTTAAGATTATGTTATAGTCTGATAAAGATAATGTGGTTTAAGTCATTTTTTTCTGCTCCTAATTTCAAAATAGCAAACTAAATTCCAGAAATACAAGAAATAATAAATTATCTATTCAGTGTTTTTAAATGATTTTGATTAACTAGACCTGTCCAGTGTTTTTTAAATTCTTTATATACTGTATCTTCGAAGAATAAGACATGTCTAGTATTATTGTTTCAGATATCATGTATAATAGTCAATTTGTCTTTACATTTTGGCCCATGCTCTGTGAAGTTTGGAGTTATTTTGGCAAGGGATTCTTCTGTTCTTAGTCATGAGGCATAGACAAGTGACTTCACCTAAACGTTTTAGACAGTCATTTTCAACCGCAATAAACTTTTGGGAAAAGTGCATGATAAGGTCCTTGTTCGAGCTACTTTGTTTTCTACCAGGAGTTAATTGCTCTTTCTCCTATTTCAGCTGATAGCGAGACTTCGGAATTGCTAATGGAACAGAAGAAAAGAGATGAGGTATTCCTTAAGGACAAGATACCATCTTGGTTTGCAGCTTCTGGATATGTTGCCCTGGCTGCCATTTCAATAGCAACAATCCCAATGATCTTTCCACCTCTCAAGTGGTATCTGGTTCTCAGTTCATATTTCATTGCCCCTGCTCTTGCCTTCTGTAACTCTTATGGCACTGGGCTTACGGACTGGAGTTTGGCTTCAACCTACGGAAAGATTGGTCTTTTCATCATAGCTTCCTTAGTTGGAAAAGACGGTGGTGTTCTGGCTGGTTTAGCAGCCTGTGGGGTTATGATGTCCATTGTCTCAACTGCAGCTGATCTCATGCAGGATTTCAAGACTGGTTACCTCACATTTTCGTCAGCCAAGTCCATGTTTGTTAGCCAGATAGTGGGAACAGCTATGGGGTGTGTTATTGCTCCACTCACGTTTTGGCTGTTCTGGACTGCTTTTGATATTGGGTCACCTGATGGTCCATATAAAGCACCATATGCTGTGATATTCAGGGAAATGGCAATTTTAGGTGTTGAGGGCTTCTCAGAATTGCCAAAGCATTGCCTGGCTATTTGTTGTGGGTTCTTCGTGGCTGCTTTGGTCATTAACCTGCTGAGGGATGTGACCCCAACAAAGATCTCTCAGTTTATTCCCATTCCAATGGCAATGGCTGTTCCGTTCTATATTGGAGCTTACTTTGCAATCGACATGTTTGTTGGGACTGTAATATTGTATATATGGGAGCGAACCAACAGGAAACACGCAGAAGACTATGCAGGTGCTGTTGCTTCAGGTTTAATATGCGGTGATGGGATCTGGACGATTCCATCGGCTATCCTTTCTATTTTCAGGATCAATCCGCCCATCTGCATGTACTTTGGACCTTCTGTGAGTAGCTGAGCGCAGAGATTGCGGGTTGTGCTACATTTCAATGATCTATGCATTTATCGGGATTCTGTAAATATGTAACCTATGCATGGAAAAGAATCGTTCTTTTAACTCAAATTGTTTTTTAATGAAAAACTAAATCTGGGAATAATTAGCAGGGAACTTACATGTGGAATCCATGTAAATGGGTTTTAGTATTCCAATTGAGTTTTTACAACAAGGCTGGAAGTCTGAGATATTTAAAATCCCTTGGAGAACGTGGCTGTGCCACTTGTCATAAGTTCATTTTTTATGAGGAATGGATTTTGATGCAGGGAAAAAGGTAACGGATTGTTGAGCAAGCTTTTGATGATCATGTTGCCATACACGATGACAAATGTTTTGTTTTTTCAATAATTGAGACCCACCACCTCTCAATTCTCTTCTCTACC